TCTAGCCACAAATTCCCAGTGGCTTCATTTGTCCAACTGACAGGCGTAGGTCCGGAGAATACTGATCAAGTTGTTAAAATATTATTGTCAGAAACAGAGTATTCATACTGACCAAAGGTCTTAAAATGACTCAGTTTGTGCTCTTGGTGTTGAAGCCTTCTTTAGAGTGGAAATGAGACTTGGTATTGAAGACTGTGTAGGAAAAGCTCCGTGAAACAGCATCTTGGAGCATATACACCTGAGTTCAGGAGCAACTCACTGTGTGCTGATCACTCTTCCTTTAGGTTTCAGGGATGCTCTGAAATAGGAGCAAACGGATACACTGGAGTAAAAGAGTATTTCTGCTGCTGACTGCTGACGCAAGCGGCAGGAACATAAATGTGGTTCAAGTTTACACCAGGGGCTCTTCGACTGTAGCATGCTGGTCCTGGGGGACTATAAAGGCAGGTTCCTAGGCCTTCCTCTGGCAGTCTGATTCACTTGGTCTGGGGTGGGGCCAGGACTCCTCACTTTTAGCATTGTCCCTGCTTACTCTTTTTTTAAATAATAGCTTTATTGAGATATAATTCACATACATAAAACTCATCCTTTTAAAGAATACAATTAAGTAGGGGGGGGTAGCATCTTCACTGTTTTTGTGCAACCATCACCACTTATAATTTTAGAACATTTTCATCACTCCCCACCCCCCAAAACTCATACCTATTAGTAGTCATTCATTCCTCCCACTCCTGACAACCATTAATACACTTTCTGTCTCTATGGATTTGCCTATTCTGGACATTTCGTATAAATGGAATCCAAGTTCTGGTCTTGTCACTGGTTTCCTTCACTTAGCATGATGTTTTCAAGCTTCGTCCATGTTGTAGTATGTATGGCTGAATAATATTCCATTGTATGGCTAGACTAAAGATTGTTTATGCAGTCATCTGTTGATGGACTTGTTAGGTGTAAGAAAACGGTATGTGTTTGTTCACTCAACAAACATTTCTTGAGCACTCACTTGATGGGGAAATCTGGGCTCAAAAGCAGAACTAGAAATAGTAAGACTTTAGTGGTTGTTAGCACAAAAGTCATTACCTTGGCTCTGCCACTGTTTTTACTTGATGTGGCTCATTGAAGACCTGGTGTCCAGTTGTGGTGTGTGGTGTTTTTGTGCAGGCACAGATTACACATTGGTCCAAGAGTGCAGGCGGCAAACATGTCCCCTGGGGGTGGTTCTGAGGCAGAAGCCTTTGACTTCTCTTGTTCCTTACCTGCGCAGTGTCGTCCGTCTTCTTCCAAATGTGAGTTGGTTTGTTTTTAAAAGTACTCCAAAATCAAAAAAGTAAAGCTATTATGTAAAAAAAGAAGAATTCATTTTAATTTTTTAAAAAGCTTTTTTTGTTTGAAGATGATAAAAATGAAGCATCAAAAGTCTCAGGAGTGAGCCTCACTAAACAGACACAGCGAGAGTTGCATTTATGTGGTTGTATGCTTCCTTTTTCCTTCTTAACATATTTTCTGAAAACAGACATCTTCTGGATGTACTTGCTAATAAGAATGCTCATTTGAGAAAATAACCACGTTTGTTCCACTGCGATTGTTATGCTTTCTTTTCAATTTTGTTGCATAGTCTTTATCAGCTGATAAAAACTGGGAGTTATTAGAATCATTGAAGCTGAACAGCTTGTACCTTTATTTGCAACACAAATAAAAACCATTTAAAATTTAATTGTATTAGTATGTAATCATTTATGATCTAAATTGTATTTCTCATTCAGTATATCAAGTATGACCCATTTATGAATCAAGTTATATATAATATATATATTTACCTATTTTTAAGAACTAGCATGCTAGCTTTAGAGCAGTAAAGAGCATTGGAATATTATAGTTGTGTATGTTTTATTCCTCACTCTACCTCCTCCCTTGTCCAAAGTTCTTATTTTTTTCATTGAATATGCCTATAATATATTTATAATTGAGATGTAATTCATCATAAAGTTCACCATTTACATTCGTACAATTTAGTGACTTGTAGTCTATTCACTATGTTGTACAATTATCACCATTATCTAATTGTAGAATATCTCTATCATCCCAAAAAAGAAACCCTTACCTATTGGCAGTCAGTCCCAATTTCCCCCTCTCTTTATGGGTTTGCCTATTCTGGACATTTCATATCAATGAATTCATACAATATGAGGCCTTTTGTGTCTGGCTTTTTCACTCAGTATATTTTCAAGGCCATCCATGCTGTAGCATATAATAGTACTTCATTCCTTTTTATGGCTGAATAATATTCTGTTGTATGGTTATACCACATTTGAAAAATCCATCATTTGATCAAGATTTCCAGATTTTACTTTTTATTTAAATTATGGTTTTTGTTACAATTTGGGGAAAATCATTCCCCCCATCATGGTTTAAATGTCCAGATTGTTTTCCTAGCAACCTCTAAAGCAGTAATATCTGAACTTCTTTTTGTAGGTGACTTCGATAGTAAAATTTCTGTAGACAGTATTGCACCTCCCCTCTTCAAAGGAAGAGGGTTATTACTGGTGGGAGGCAGCTCCATCGTGCATTCCCAGACCTATAAAGTGATATTGAAGTTTGTCGTGGTAATTTAAGTCACAGAGTGCTCCCAACTAGCAAGATAGGCTAGGCTTATCACCTAATTAATGACTTTTAACATCAGAGACAAAAAATCAAAGTTTTGTGGGAACAGCATTTTCCATTCCTCTGTGAATTCAGAAATGCTCGTGGGCTGATTGCTGAGTGTGTGGGGGCTTTTATGCTCCCTCAGTTTCAGCTCAGAATATGGTATCAGCTGTTACTCTAGAGACCATGGTTTTAGTCCTGGAAGTCATTGCTGCCCGATTGGAAGCGAGTTCACCATGTTGTTAAGTATTTCTTGGGATCTTTAACCTCAAAGCGCATACATAGTTTTCTGTGTATTAGACATAGTGGGTTTTGTCCCTTTTGGAAAAGCCGCGTCTTCCTGGGAA